TTGTTTGTTTGGATGTCGATCCCCATTGGTTTCTCCATACTGAGTTTAGGAAGGGCGTCGATCAACACCGTGACAATCAGCCGAGAGAAGACAAACATTGACCGTAATTCATGGAGATCATGTCCGTAATTTGTGGGCTGAAACCCCAAATAATTAATCAAGTATTATTATTTTAATATATATTTTATTTTACATCGCAAAACTAAACCATGCCCAAAACAGAGCTAGAGTTGTTCGCGGTGAAACAACCGCATTGAAGACGATGCAACTTCAACTAGCCATTTTTTAGCTTGAAATAAAAAAAATAAAAATTCGAAGAGCATCGGGGAAAATATTAATAATCATCCTTATCAATCGCTTGCTTTATTTTATTCGAATCCATGAAATTCACGATTTTTTTTACATTTGTTGGCAACTTCCGCGCTAAAAAAGATTGAAAATGTGGGTGTGGTTATTTTGCAAAGTCCTGTTGATAATATGGTTCTGTGACCCAGGTTGTGTGCTCCGATCAGGTGACTCTCAGCCAATCAATGATGTTGTAACAAAGCATATTTGACGCTAATTGAAGGGTCGTCGTACAATCCAATCACCGGCGTCGATTCACATAGTTGTTTGTGCTGTGACAGGCTTCAAAATTATTCGCTGAAAAACATATATTTTGACAAACTGATGGAATTTGACCTTAGTTCAAAAAGAAAATACTAGGCTAAGATACATTAGAGCTCACGTGAATCAGTTTTCTCTGCAAGTTGTGAAATAAAGTAAACCAGAGTAGCGTCGATGATTTTCAGCCCTGAAGGACATTGAATTGTTCATCGACTGGCCACCAAATAGTTATGGCTATAACTAAATTTGACACGTTTTTCTTTTAAGCCCAATAAATTATTCATACATGTCAAGCTCTGTTCGATTTTTTCAGGTCATGTGGCCGTTTTTAGTCGAAAATATTTTTTGTGGGAACACTTTTGCGGTACGTATACGGTATAGACCGAGCTCATTCAATGATCGTGACTTAATTTTAAAAATTGAATGTCAAATTTTACCAGACGTGGACCGATGTGGATTCGATATCGTTATTTTTGGAATTAATCACAAACATTTCCTCGTTTCTCTGCTCTGTCAAAAGAAGTACCTAGGCTTTTTTCATGTACTGTCTCATTAAATAAAATATTACAT